ACCGTTAGCGAATTCTGCGAACCAATCTCTTCTGGCAATCGCGCTACATATCTCCCTGTGGGTGCTTCGATTCGTCGGCGGCAGCAAAGTTGTAAGCTGCATATTTTATCTGTGATAAAGTGCACCGCCAATACTCCTCTCTTGCTCAGCTGGCGCAGCTTAGTTCCGTTAAGAAACTTACTACTTCCTCGCGCTGGATCTACAGTGTACCCCCGCGGAAGCGGCGATCCGATAAAAATGTACACCGCCGTTCCTTTTGTGCGTTACTAATGTATCACACTTTTTCTTCTCTCGGGCGGATCCGCGAGGAACATCGAAGCACAGATTAAAACTGAATTTATAGCTAACACATCGTAAAAGAATCGTTCACGGTGCATCGAGTAGTCTTAATTTATTTTTCATCGGAAGAGTTTGCAGCGTACGAAACTGAAATGAGTCCATTTAACGATCACATCCGACGTCGTACGGTTATGATGAGACGTGAGGCGAGGGTTACGTCGAATCGTTTCGCTCGCGGTGCTCCGCTGGGCGAGCTTCGGATTCAGAAATAAATCCGCCAAACTTTTCTCCCCCGTTGGTCTATTCCCTAGCTGATTTACTAAGACCCGCCCCGATAGCCCTGCAGGCGGCACTCGTTACAACGTCGTTTCCGAGCCTGGAACGAATTCCCAACTTCGCTACGTGGCATGTCGTGTTTCGACGTGAAGCAACCCCTGCGCTCCCTTTCTCCCCGTCCCCGACCGTCTCTTCCCACCGACACCGGCCGTTCGATTTACGCATCGAAATTAAGCCACGCTCGGCTTGCGGCGCTCGTCCGATGCACTGCACTTTTTTAACCCGACCCCACGCTACTCAACGTCAGTTGCACCGGTAGAAACGACGTTCCACGAAACGAGCGCGCATTGGTCAGGGGTGAGTCCAAGAGAATCCGGAATGGTAGCGGTGGTTGTTACGGGAGGGGGGGGGGAAGGGTAGAATGGGCGAGACTGAATTGATACCTGATACAAGTCCACCTCGCTCGAGGATTTTTGCGCCAGCCACTGCTCGAAGAAGGGAAAGGATGTCTGTGTCGCAAAAAGCGCCGGGTACAACGGGAACGTCTGATTGCTGTCATTTAGCGAGATATTCCGCCGGTATTCCGCTTGTAGAGTCGAGTAAACGAGAGGCGATTGCGGAAATGGAGAGCACGCACGGAGAAATATTTCTGGCGGGGAACTGAACAGCGTTCTTTTCGCGGAATTTGAACGATAAACCTCGACAGGGTGTCAAGAGTCGCGCGATAATGCACGAGGAAATGTAAGAGGAGATTTGAAGAAAGCCGCTGTTATCTGAAATTGGCTGAGGTCATCTCGCGCGCGCGCGCACGCGGTAACCCCGCGATTGCAGGAACAATGTTAGATGAAACGAAGTGCATAGTCACGTTGAGGAGTGGTGAGTTTCTGGCAGTCCAAACCGGCGAAGGTTGTTACCGGTAAACGGGATGGGCGAGGCGGATTGAGGTTGATACGCGATACTGGGCTCCGCTTTAATATATAGAATTCTCCGCAACCCGTCGCGGTATCATAACCAGATACGGTGTGTAGAACAATGTGAACAAACTGGTGGTGTGCGGGAGCATATCGCAGGATATATCAATTCCGAACAGTGTTCAGCAAGCGTTATAACAACATAGACCTCTGTTTCCACACGGTTATTATTATACAAAATATTGCTGTGCGCGGAGTCGCACATATCAGCTTGTATACTTGGCGTTTTTCGTCAGCGGATGATTTTATTTCGGCGCGAACTATTAGAACCGTGCGTCGTCGGGACAACACTCATAAATCCACATCGAATAATAATTCGTCCGCGCCAAAGCGACAGCTCGCCAAGTTTCGCATTTTATATTAAAATTATTTTATATCCGAGCGTAAGCCGGAACGTCACAGCGATAGAGCCGACGCAGCACAAGCCCGGATTGATGCAGGCTGATGACAGACACTGGACGGGACGGCTTACCGTCGTACGTGTAGTGCGAATGCGTGAGATGGACGGTCGACGCGTCGTGAAACGAACATGTTAAATAATAGAAACTGAGCTGCTTTGCAATATTCAACGATAAATAATCTAATCTCGATCGAGTATAAATCACTTTTATATTTTATGAATATTTTATAATTATAAAAGTATTTCATAAAAATGCTTGATAAACTGAAATGCGCGCCGTATTTGTTATAAACATATATACGTCGGAAATTCTTTTCATGTTACGTAAGAATAAAAAGTTTCTTCAAAAATTCATTATTTATTTTTCCACTTATACACATATTCTTGTATTTCTGTGTATCACATATTTTTCTATGTATAGGAGTTGACGTGATGTAAACGCGAAGACGGAAGTAGTTAAATCCGTGGGTATTGAAATAATGCTTTATATACAGTTAAGCGCAACGAGTTAAGATTTGGGTTTAGATTGATGTGGTGGTAAACAGTAGCAGCCGCATGAGCGATTGCGCCGAGTTTTGTTTTGTAGTTTAGCGTCTGCGAGGTTACAAAAGTGAGTAGTGGATGGAATGTAGGAGTAAAAGCGGATTGCAGCCGCGATAGTGCCTAATTTGTTGCAAACTTTTCACTGAATAAATCGACCTGAGAAATTGGACAGTATAAATTGGCGGATTGTAATTAAGTTAAAAAAATTGCAAACTAATTATATACATATTGCAATGAATGATTAGGTAACCTTTTGAGATTTATTAAATGTTATTGCTATATCTTTATACTTACAATGATAACAATATTGCATCTCTATTATAAATATTATACAATTTTCATCTTTGAACACATGTATTGTAGGCACAAAAAATTGCAAGTAATAAAAATTTATTTTATGCGTGATATATTCTATTATAAATATAATAATTTTTATTTTTTTATAAAGGTATAAAAGTGAAACGCAATTTATATACAATTTTACAATGTTTCACAAAGACAGCTCTTTTTACAAAGGTTACGTATTATCTTCGTTAATATTTCGAATTTAATAATCCAGGGATGTGATCAGAATTGTATTTGTAGCTTTTAATATCCTCGTCGTTCTTTCATACTGCAGTATGCATGTGACATATATACGCCCGCTATGCAACATACGTACTATTGTCCCGATCGGGTATCGCTGACAAAATAGTGAACTCCGCGCGTGGGACACACCGGTTGCCACGAGTTGCATTGCCACCAAAATCCGCGTGGTCTCCAAATAGATGCGTAGGGTGAAACGAATGAACGAACGAACGAACGAACATTCGAACATTCGAAGCTCGACGGTGTGGCGGGTGGAACTGGCGGAAGAGAAGTGGGGTCTCCCGGTGGTCGGTGGAGACTCTAGGTGGCTTTGACCCGCCAATTCAGCATCACCCATACGGGCACTCAACCGCAAATCGAGTTCCGGCCGTAGGGCGGAATAAAATCGACCCCGTCAACCTCGTCCAGCCCCTACCCGCGGCGACCGATGCAGCCTTCGGGCCGCGATTCGCATGTCGGCGAATCTAGTAAGACATTACTCGCGAGGGACACGTTTATTCGACACCCTGGGAGAGGACGAGAGAAAAATAAAGAGAATAAGAGCGCGCGAGCAGGGAAAGAAAAAAAAATCAAGGACGAGATCTTGAGAGTTGACTTTAATGGGTGCAGCGAAATGGAAAAGCCAGACCGCGCGGCATAACCGGGCCATGCCAAAGGTTATGATTTTCGCCGAACGAGCGGGCGAGAGTCGCGCGCGCGTCACACGCTGACATTCTTTCGATATCGCGATCGTAAAATCGTCGTTTTATTCGGGAACCGAGCCGAAGCAACGCGGAAAGCTCGACGATCACAGTTGCATTTTGTACACGGGTTTTTAATGTACGTGCACTCGGACAAATTGAATTCCGAGAGTTGTGCGAGGCAATTTCACGTTTCGCGAGCGTACGTGGACACGAAAATTTTTTGATAATGGGCACAGCAACAGAACGGAGCAATGAAATCGCCGCAGCGAATAGCCCGGGCATTCTCATACCACCGGGCTATTCCGAACTACGCGCAAACTCAGCGTCCTCGAAGCACTCAGGAAGTCGTATGGAACCCCGAAACGAGAACCCGTCCTTCGGGGTCGCTCGCTCTCTTTAATGCTTGAATATGGAGGGTCCAACCTCCAAGTAGACATTCGGTAGGGCAGGGTACGCTGCGCGAGTTCGCTTCCGCCGGAGATGACGCGGATGCGTCGCGCTCCCACCGTTATCATTCTCTACTTTATTACGTGCAGCCTGCATGCGTCACGCGCGCACGTGTCGTCCCGTCGTGTGCGAGAGGAGTTTCCACCCCTCGGCGTATGCAGCTAATCCACATGGGTTGATTTATGAACGAACAGATATACATACTTGTCCACCCTTGCCGCCGGCGAGAAGTTAACTCGCGAGCGTTATTGTTGCGTTAAGTGTTACGACAGAAAGCTTGCGCATCGGCGAATGCCAGGAGGATCGGAATTTATTACTTCGCGTACACTCTGTTGACGATATATCGCAATTTCTTGTAGCCGAACAGTTGGACGTAAACGTTCCTATTAGATATCGTATGATCCTGATACGTCCATTACGAGGATTAAAGACAAATATAGCGGCGATCCAATTCCGTCGGGGTTTTTTTTTTTTTTTTCGATTTAATGTACTTTTCTACTTAACGTGATTCTGTTGAATCATTGATATTGCGATTGAAGTTGCGCTATCTTTTTGGGGCGAGCGATTTATCGTGAGAAAAATTAGATAATCTCAATTGTACGATGATAAAGCGTAGCCTCGTGCGGCCACATAAAAGATCGGAATAATCGGAAGAGCATAGACACGACACGTGTAGACGTGGCACGGTGTGTTTGCGTAGCTCTTTTGTTCCCCAGTTTAAAGTATTCTTTCGGCACTTTAACATTTTGCATTTCCAGCTTTCGCTTATCAACGTGGCAGCGCACTTTAACGCTCGCACTTTTCTGCTAACAGTGCCGCCCGACATCCTGGACTACGATACCAGCACGGACATGGTGGTGATGGAGGGGCGAAACGTGACTCTGCGCTGCGCCGCGACCGGTTCCCCGGCGCCTAACATCACCTGGCGGCGTGAGGATGGTCAGCCAATTCAAACCGGGACCGGGGAGGAAGGTTAGTTTTAACGAGTTGCCCACGAACGAGCGTAATTCGCAGTCAGGCTGGTGATAAAGCCGGGAAAATTTCGCTGAATTAAGGTGGCTCCTCCTCCTCTCTCTCTCTCTCTCTCTCTCTCTCTCTCTCTCTCTCTCTCTCTCTCTCTCTCTCTCTCTCTCTCTCTCTCTCTCTCTCTCTCTCTCTCTCTCTCTCTCATCGTGTCGGACGCTTCGTTACGACGAGAGCTAATCGAATATGACGAGAGAAAGACGCGGCGTTTGATACTCTCTTCACCGGAAAGCAGTCGGCGATCATTTGCGATGCGGTCCTTTCCGAGAGTCGCGCTTTTAACCCGCTTCCCTTCCCGCCCTCCTCCTCTCTTTTGAGCGCACTCGTTAGCTCGTCTCTCATTCCGCAGTGTACCAAGTATTTTATGTGTCATTAGCTCCGCATCGAACGATCACGAAATTTCTACGCTTCATATTTGCCTCGAACGGTCAAGAGTTTAATTTCTCTTCTGACCCTTTACAAACTTTTTATGCTGTATTTCCACTTTTACTGCAAGATATTTCCATTAATTTCGCCTTCTCTTATTTATACGAAGCTCTGAATTCAGGTAACATGTGAGCATACGGAAAGCATACGAACTTTGCTTATGAAATTTGTAACTTTGATAGCCGACTTATAAAAAGGACATATCAAGCCTTTTAAAAATATAATTTAATTTGCCTGACAGTTTGAAAAGAGGACAGGTTTTAAATATTTACAAATTTTCAACGTTATAAATAAATTTTTATCCCTGTAAAAATTAATGTACGTGAAACTTTAAATGGACATTATTTAAGGATTGGTTTGATGCAACCGCAAGCGGCTTGAATCAAGTAAATATCCCTCCGACATCTCTTAAACGCGGCGGCAATGCGCCAAAAGCTCGCTCCGTTACGCACGCAACCGTAAAGGCTCCGCCCGGAGAAAAAAAAGGAGATTTACGTTCGCGAAGGATACATTCGGGCTAAACTGCACGAGTGCATCCGAACCGCATCGCGCTCTTGCAGTACCAAGCGCCTCGGCTGGCGGTCGCTGGGGAGCGCAAACACACCGCGTGGCAAGGCCAATAGGTTAGAGCGAGGTGATACGTTTGCAGAGACCGAGAAGATCTTCTATATTTGCATTGAAATTGGCAAACACAGTGAGCACACGATACGCGATTCGAGCTTGCATGCTCGGCCCGTTACGTCGCGGGACAATAAACAACCGGACCGACCTTAAACCACGATTACGCTATCCATAGTTCCGCTATTACGCCATTAATCCGATAAGGTGCGAGTGCCGAGGAAGTGAACGCGGAGAGACTGCTTCTGCGAGACGTTCCGACTGTGATTGGTTACGACGACTTGGTTACTACGTTCCAGATACTCGCATATTTGCGAGTTGATTCTCTTCTCCGAAAGAATATCGCAATTGTAACAGTTCCTCCGAAATAGTACCGCGACGTGTGCTTGCACCATTAGAGAGAGATTCGGCTTTTCTGTAATAATTCAATAATGTATATACTATAATGATATTATGATCAGGATATTGTTACTGAAGTATTATTGGATTATTTGAAACTTCGATACAGAGAGGGAGAGAGAGAGAGAGAGAGAGAGAGAGAGAGAGAGAGAGAGAGAGAGAGAGAGAGAGAGAGAGAGAGAGAGAGAGAG